GGGGAATTCTGGGAGTTGAAGTCCACTCATCTTAAAGTGGCTAAGTTTGGACAACACTGGAATAGAACACGGACAGCACCAAAAGGCTACAGCAAGGCAGGTCCAAGGCTTCTCTCCCTTGAAAGTATTAAACCCCCTGTTATTATTCCATGTAAGAACAAACCGATCGTTGGATAACGCAGTGTTGTTTTTTTAAGGCTTAAAACATGGCCTGTCTGTTTTCAAGGGTCTTTGCAGCTGATGTCATTGTCCTTTTGTCAGATTCTTTTGGAAATTAGCATTGTTCATCTCATGCAGATGCAGGCCTGCCTCCTCGGTTTATGTCCGGTGCTCTGCCTTTCCACCCACTAAAACCAAAACTGGGCATGAGGCAGCCTGAAACAGGGCACCACGCTTCTCCCAAAGTGTGCTAAGCAAGTAACACTACACGTCTGTCACGCTGGGTGCAACCGGCCCATCTTAGAACTCCTGCCTCTGATGCTTGTAGCCCAACTGTCAAGGGCCTCTTGGGGTTGAAGGAATTGCTGAGGACTTTCTAGGAAGGACTCCTGCTGCAAAAAAACCCCAAAAAATGCCATGCACACATAAGGATTCTCAGTTGAATCAAATTATGTAGGTTTGTAGAAAACTACTTCTGGGTGGCTAAAGAAAATAGCCACCAAGGCTGGCTTGACCATCATGCTGGGTGGGTTCCTGCCGCCCCCTTAACCTGCCCACCCCCTGCAGGGATCCTCACTAGCGGTCCCCACCTTCCCATTTGTTCAGGGCAGGTGGGCCCTTTCACCCCCTAAAAACACTGGGCTTCAGCCACTCCCTTTGCTTGTTTTCTAAAAGGTTCAGTGGGCCCTGTGTGAAGTCCATGAACTTCTTTGGAAACATACATTTTGGCTCTTTTGCATGCGTGCATCCGTTTTAGTTCTGTTCAGATTAATGTCGAAAAAGATGAGCATCTGGCGCCACAGAAGGTGTGTGCTGATGCACTGGCACCCATGGGTGCTCTGTTGGGGATCCTGTCATGTGGATAGCAACAGAGGAGGTGCTAAGGGGAATCACTTCTCGGTCAGATAGGGATGGGTGCCGACCCATTTCAATTTGCACCCAAGCTCTGGAGCTCGGTGTGGTAGGAAACAGCAAGATGAACTCCAAACAGCCAAAGACGATCCAGTCAGGCAAACTTCTCCATCACAGCATTGTTAGACGGGACTGATTTGCGAGTGTGTATCATTTCTCTTGACTGCGTTTGCAGATGACTTGTGATTCCTTTTTAAACTGGAATAGGTGACTCGGGTTCATCTTGTTCTTGGAGCGTATCTTCGGCCCGCTTGATCAACAGAAGAAATCCTCCCAAATACTTGGCAAGTTTTAATGGTTTCGCTTTTTTTTTTAATGGCTTTGTGAAATTATGTCCTCGTTTGATTTAAGGTCAAGTGTTCAATTTTGAGCTTTGCCAGGAATTGGAAGTGGGTTCTGAAGACTTTTACCTCTGCAGACAGGACACACGTCGTAGATGCCAGACCATTTTATGTAGAAAATTCCTGTTTCTTAAAATAATTGTGGCAAAGCGGGGATGGGTTGCCTTTTGCAGGCCAAGAGCCACGCTTAACATTTAGGGGAGGATAAGGGCCACGGCAGGCAGGACAACAACACAAAACAGGTTGTGCACAGGTGGAGAAGGCTGGGATTTTCTCTCCCCCCCCCACTCCACCCTGTAGGTTTGTGTGTGTGTGTGAGTTTTTACCCAGTTTTATTGGATGGAAATGAGGTCTTTGTGCTGCTTTAGAGTTTATGCAGTCATCTTCGTGGGTTTTCCTGCATCGAAATTGCATCACCAGTTTTCAGCAGTTACACTATTTCACTTTGGAGCAGACTCCAAAGGCTGCTAAAAATGGAGTCTGGGGGAGTCAGTTGCAACATCTAGGTCGGTGTTTCTCAACCTGGCTGGGGAATTCTGGGAGTTGAAGTCCACGTGTCTTAAAGTTGCACAGGTTGAAAAACACTCGTCTAGGTTTTCCACGTGGCCCACTCCAGCTGTAGATAGCTCCACAGCTTAGTTGCTCAATGGCACCCTTTCTTGAGCTCTTGAAGTCAAAAACATTTGCCTAATCAACTCCAACACATCAGGCTATGTTTTTAAGGAGAGGAGAGCAAATGTGCTTCAGAGCCACGGGCGACATGATCCTGCCTCGCCATCTCTCTTGTTTAATTACACAAACGCTCTGCAACCTCGATGTGGTGCATCATCTGCAGGGGCCCTTTCGGAATTTAGGAAGCTCAGCCGTTGACTGTGCAGCATCGCTGGGGCAACCTCACCCCTTCGCTCTCCCATCTCCCCCTTCCAAGCCCAGATTCTTCCTCCCTCTCTCTGCCATCCGGTGCTGATTCTAGCCTTCAAGAGCACCTCTTAACCAAAGTGGGATCTTGCTCCTTTTTCATTAGCCTCTTTCCATTTCAGGGGCAGGGCACACGGTAGGATTACCTAGATCGTTTGAGGAGAGGAGAAGACCCACCCCTCCATTCTTGTTCCTCAGACATCACCCAGAAGCCGACCTCCCTGCTTCGATTCTCTCTTCCCCACCTTCGGTAACGTTCAAAGGAGTGGTGCAGAAACACGACTGCTGAAACCATTTTCGATCAGGGTGGGTCACAAGAAAGCAAGCAACCCATTTGTTTTTTTTGTTTGTTTTTTTTTTTGTCCTAGTCTGAGTTTCCTTTTGGAAATGCCTAAGAAAAGGGGAGAACCAGCTAACCAATATACCCTACAAGCCGGCCTTGTAGAAAGCTTTAGCCAGGGACACTTAGCTATCTTTTACAAACAGCCTTGAGCTAACATTGTGATGCTATCGGCAAAAAAGGAGTAGCGGAGGGATTTGCGTACTCTCTGCTGAATAGGCAGCCAGCGTGGATGGACCCCCAATTCACGTGAAGCTCCTTCAAGGGGCACGAAGAAAATCGGTCTTGTCCACCTTGACAAATACTCACTACAATAATAAAGGACTGTCTAGGGGGTTACAAGCTTTCGCCATAGGAGAATGACTTCTTTCATGCCCTAAAATAAAAAAAAATCACACGTGGCAACGTTTCCCGTGCCACCGCCTACAAAACCGGAGAAGCACATTTGCCGAAAAGTCCCACCATGATCACCGTGCCCATAACCGTAAGGAATACATGCTCATTCACTCCGATCCTGGAGCGCGTCTTGTACGTGAATGGACGTTTTCACCCTCCTGCAGGAGTTTGTGAGAGCCACGTGGCTGCAGCAGCCTGAATGCCTAAACCTTTGGCTTTAATGTGAAATTGAATCATTTCTTGGAGGGAAGCGGGAGGGAAAAATATCCCCGTGATTATTTTTTTAAAAAGGGGGGGTGGGGGGAGGGCGGTAAGGAAAAATCGATACTTGCTTTAAATAGAATTGCAAAGCGTGCAGTATTAATTTATAGCAGAAAGGCCATATCTTGTAAACTGTATATAAAAGTTTTTTGTTTGTTTGTTTTTTTAAATGGTGCAAATGTCTGTCGATTTTCTGTCTGTTGCATTGGGGGATTGGGGAGGGGTGGGAAGAAATCTGATCTGTGTGTGTGTGTGTGTGTGGGTGCGCGTGTGCGTGTGCACTTCTTTTCACTACTGGCGGCCTTCCCAAATCCAACTTGTGCAGAGCACCTGGTTTGAGAAGGCAGCCTGTAAGAGCTTTGGAGTAAAGTGTGCTATGGAATATGCCTCACTCCTCTTGCCCTGGGGTATTTTTATAAACATGTTTTACCTGGCTTTGAAATGCCTGCGCCCTGAATTTGGTTCGGCTTGCATTAACTACTTCGTCCAAAGCAATTCATATTAACGGAGGTGCGGGGGGAAAGGTTCGTACCAAGCCTTTGAAAACTGCCTGATGGGTTTTAAAGGCAGTTCATGAACATTATTTCGGGTGTGTGGAGTTAGTAGATGTCTTGGGGTGGGGAAGGGGGATTTTTTTTTTTTTAACCTCCCAGCTATGGTTCAATGAGATTTTTCTTTGCGCATTCATTTTTGACAAACTGGTATGATTCTTCTCTATGCAGCCAAGGGTTTTTCACACACTAAGGTTTTCTTTTTTTAGCATTATTTTTTCTCCACCCATCACAGTGTCAAAAGTTGGATTAGTCTGCAAACAAACCTGGTTTTTCTTGCAGTGTCTAATCCTATTGGCATTCAAGACATTTTTGTGGTGGTAGGAAGACTGGTATCTGTCCAGAACTCTCAGTAACTCTGGCCAGGATGGATCTGGTGAAGGTTGCTGAGAATTGGCGTTCAACAACATCTGGAAAACCATAAATTCCTCTTCATTATTTAAATCCTCCTTTTGAGGGTCCTTTTTTGGGGGGAGCGAGTTTGAGCCAACCTTCTCCCACCTGGACTTTTCTAGAGAGTTGGCATGCAGCTTCCACCATTGTTAGGAAGCACGGCTGCTGGACAGGCTGATGGGAGGTGTAGTATAAGGTTCAAGAAAGCCAGTTTTTTGCTTTATTTGGCAAGTCTAGCCACTTGCATCTGATGTAAGTTTATAGCAGTTAAGGCTCATTTAGGCATTTTCTTGCAAATTTCACTTTCTGGGGTTTTATGGAGAAGCTCAGCTTCTTTTCCCCACCCCTCAGCTGCTGTTCAATTTGCTGTTTAAAAGTATGGAAGCCTTGTGAAGGATACAGAAATGGAAGGAAATGACATTTCAGTGAGATTTGCCTCCCTTGGGCTTAGTGATGGTGTGTCCCCCTCTGCCTTCCACTGCACCCCCTCCTGCAACTCTAAAACAACCGTTTTCTAATTGGTAAGGGCATTTTTTTTCTTTGTTTTGTTTTGCAGTTAATTTCCCAACAAATTGTTAATAAAAACTGTATAAAGCGGACATGATTTTCCTCACTTGTATTTTTGTTATTGAACAAGTTTATCAAAATAAATTCTCTACTGAAAGAAATCAAACTGGCTTGATTTGATTTTTTTAAAAAAAAAAAACTTTCTAGAGCCAAGGGCTGTTTGCGGCAAGGACTGAAGTTCTTTGGGGAGCCAAAGCTTTAAAATACCCAAGCTAAGAGCTTTCTGACAAAATTCAGTAGCGGGGCACGAGTGCTTTAAAACTCCCAATTATGTAAGCTTCTGGTTTTTTGTTTTTTTTTTAAAGATGGGTTTCCGGTTTCCAGTAAGAATCATCACTGTATTTATTACAAAAAAAAAATAACAACCCAAAGCCGTCCTCGGATACAAATAAGGCTTCCTTCCTTCCCCCCATCCCCAGTATCTAAGATCTCTTCCACAGATTGGGGAAAATAGAGCTATGCCACTCAGAGTCACCTGTGTGAGATGAACGGCTATATAAATCTGATAAATAAATGTGGTATAGTCCTCTTAGGACCATCTTCGCTTCAGGCAAAGGTCTACAACGAACAGCCTCTCAAGGCCCTTAAAAATCTCGGATGCCGCCCCCGAACACCCCCAAAACCCGCCACCACAATCCTTAATGAGGCCAAAACCATGTTAAACAGATACCTGGAAAGTCCGGTTCATTTTCTTCCGTTTAAAAGGAAAGGAAATGAACACAAACCTTGGCCCTGTCGGTGGCCCCTGCGACTGCCTGCTTTGCAGGAAGGGTGGCCCTTGAGTCCCCAACCGTGAGCCACCCCGGGTTTCAAGCAGTGCCCCCTAAGCTTTTGACGAGAGTGGACTTTTTTAAAAAAAAAAAAAGTGCCAATACTGTATGCAAAGGATTACATGGTGCAGGGAGGGCTGAGTACAGAAAAAGGACTTCACGTGCCTTCCTTGTGGTGCACGGGGATATTTTGGCTGTCCCGCTGGTGTTTCTCCGGCCCTTGGAGACTTGCAAAACGGCCTTTCTGCTGTTCATCTGCCCAGCCCTTCCTTCCTTCCCTCCCTGATGGGAATGGTTGCTTCCGTTGCTATTGGAGATGGAAAACACAGGGCAAGCCAGAGACTATTCCAAAAGGCCTGAGAAGCATCAGCTGCGCATGGGAGAGGTGCAAAAAACATGGCAGATATCTGGTGAGTCCCAGATCTCGGGACATCCTCTGGGGATGATGGGGTGGGAAGAAGCCAGCTGGGAGTTGGGAAGGGCTGTGTGTGAGGACTCCATTAATAAAAACCAAAAAAAAACCCCAACTGTTCTCTAGATCAGTGTTTCTCAACCTGGACAACTTGAAGATGTGGGGCCCTTCAATTCCCGCGAACCCCCCCCCCCCCCCCCC